TTTGCACGGGCAAAGACTAGTATTTAAAAAGTGTCATTGTGTTTCCCTACCATTAAGCCTCCATTTGATAAAATTTATAAATTATTTTTAATTATATTTGGGCAACTTATAAAAATACTCCTAGAATTAGGGGTCTTTTTGAAAAATCATATAAAAAATATTTCGAAAATAAAAAATACTGTATAAAATTAAGCATGGCTTTTTTTAATTAAAAAGTATCATTGCGTCACTTTTTTTTATTATTAAAAAGTGCCATGTAAAATTATTTTTATAGTCTAGTCTATTATTTTGAGCACGTTTGGGAGTGATTAAAATCCAATTAAAATTGAAAATTTAGTAGTTATTGGGTTTCATTCGTCTAATAAAAGTCAACAATAACGACTAATTTTTCAATTTTAATTCGATTTTAATCCATACCGAACACGCCCTTTATGGGTCAACAGAGATTTATTTGGCTTGTAAAATTCAGTGCTGTCTAGATGGACAGTGGATGGTGGACACATCAAAATTGACCGTATGATAATTAAATATTTGTTTGAAGAATTTCAATTTTAATAGTATTATTTGTAGAAAAATATTATCTATTTATTTATCACTCGTTTAAATCTATTTATAAACATTTAACCATATGCCGTTTATTTTGTAGTTAAATAACTTTTTTCTTCAATTTAGATCGAGAATGTCGAGCTCTTGTCCGCATATTCTTGATCATGGTTGAGAAATTTTTATTTATCTGCTTACTTTTGGATCCAAGTCAAAAGAAAAAAATGAAAAAAAGAATTTATTTTAGGCAGATGTTTATGATTAAAGATATTTTTTTCGAAGAGATGGAATTCTCAATATAATATATTTTAGAAGAAAAAGATATAAAAAAGAGAGAAGAAAGTCTATAATAGCAATTTCGTTGTCTTCCAACGAAGTCGTAGCCAACGAATTCCTTGTAAAAAAATGAATATTTTTATTTTCCAACTTATATGGAACTGAAAAACCTTTACACCTTTGTTAATCAAACGGACCCTAAATGTAAATGAATGTTTAGGATAATGAACACAATTGCTGCTTCTATTTCATCCAATGCTGCTTATCGAATATAGCATACCTAGTCATCCTTGTTATCGTCTGCATCATCCTCATAGTAATGGATAGGGATGGCAACGGTTCGGTTCGGGGTCGGTTCTGCCAAAACCATAACCGCACCACCAAATTTTTGGTCATATCATAACTGCACCATAACCACATAAGTCGGTTCGGTTAATAAACACGAAAATAAATTATTTTTTATAAGTCCAAACTCCAACCGACAAATTGAAAAAAAAAAAAATTATGAAGAAAAGTCAATAAAAACAAAAACACAATACTAAGCCAATTTAGCAAACAATATCCCAAATGAAAATGCAAACAATATCTTAACTTCCAAATGCAAAATTCGAATTTAACAAACAATATTGTGAACATAGGTCAAGATTCTTATTAGCATAGCTCAACATTCATTCTTCCCCACAACTCTTATTAGCATAGGTCAAGAGTCAAGATTTAAAGTTAATTCCTATATAGTAAATAAGAAATGTAATTAGAGTAATAATACAATCATATTATCTAATCAAGAATGATCTTAACTGAAGATTTAAACAAAAAAATGTACATCTTCGTCAATATCCTCCTCACTAAATCTTGCACAAGTTCTGGAGTATGATGAATGAGCAAAATTTTCTATGCACAATAGGAAAAAAATCAGCAATAAAAGAAAGTGCATGAATAACAAATATAAAACAATATGGTAGATTTCGTTGTTGATTACTACAATTTGAAACTGAGGTACAGGCAGTAGAGTGCCGGCGGACTTGATTTTGTTCATTGATTGAGTGGACGAGTGTTTTGTAAGTTTGGTTTTCAATTTTCACTTTTAACATGTAGGATTAGAGTTAAGTTACTGAGTTAAGGGTTTATTAGTAATGTTAATTGTGCCAAAATTTTGAGGAAGCCTAATTGTCAAAATACATACCCCAATTAATTTTGGAAATGAATAATGGAAATCCCAATTGCTCAATTAATTTTTTTAACGGGGAATCGATTCGGGGCGGGGCACCGTCGCTAAATACCATACCCGCTCCACCCCGAACCAGGTCATTAAAATCAAAACCATAACCACCCCATTGCACATTCAGTTCGATTTTTTTCGTCCCATTCGGTGCGGTTTACCACGATTTTCGATTTTAACAGTTCGAATTGTCATCCCTAGTGATGGAAGGGAAGCGGGACAAACTTGAATGCGCCATATTTTCAAATTTTAAGACAGTGGTGTCACAATTTGCAAATTATAAGCTGCCACTAGCCTTTGCATGCTTCGTAATAATGTCAGTGATCTGGAAGATAATTATTTAATACGAGAAGAAATACCTGAAGAAGTTCCACATTCCACGGCGAAGGATTTCTAGGCTTGATATTGTAGCTACACGTAAAGAATGCACATTAACTATGAGGACAACTTGTAGCTAAGCTGTACAGAAAATAAAAGATAGATTCAATATAGAAACTTTATTGAAGGAACTTGATGAAGAGGATATGAAGAACACTTATTATTCATCAAAAGTTCAAGTGATAATGGAAATGCATTGCTCTATTTAGAGTAAAATCTACTAACTATCTAATAAACTAACATCATATCAAACTTAAGAAGAAACTAGAAGAATTTGGAATAAGGAAGAAGAGACTGGAAGGTGCTGCTAAACTTCCTAGGAACGTGACTTGCTTGACATGCTTGCAGGAGCTGGAATGTGTGAGCTACCGAGCTTAGCTAAATATGCAACTTGCATATATTTCAACACTCTCACCTTAAGATGGAACATCTTGAAGAAAGGAACGGAGATGCAAGTATTGTTATACCATCATCAGTTTCTCTGTAAGTTTTGCAATAAACTTCATGAACAGATTAAAGACACCTGATGTGGTTTTATGAAACAGCAGAGAAGCATTCCAGAGAGAGTAAGAAGAGTATAGATGCAGAAATCGGAAGTCTGCCATTATAATTGCAGGAATTCAAACTACATAAAAACATCATTAATGGCGGAATAACACATTGATGGAGATGACTGAGGACACCTTCCGCTCTTGCTGCACATGCAGGAATGAAACCGGAGGCTCAGAAATTAAAAACTCAGGAGCAGCTGGAATGGACATCAGCTGTTGAAACTGAGTAAAATTCAAATCTGAACAAAGATCCCAATGGCAGACATACTGGCGGATGATCTGACTTCAGATCTCCATTGTCAAGAGTCTTCCAATAACACCTCATTCATGGATGCTATGAATCGAAGCTATGGGGCATGGGCAACCAGAATTTCAACAGCCATAATAAAAAAAAAAAAACAACTGGCCATAAATTAGAGTCAGATCTATGATAGAAATAGATTGATTGATGAACAGAATTTAAATCAACTGAATCTCCAAATTCATTAGAACGTGAGCTGCTGAAATGGAGAGTTGTAAGAGTGATGCTGGAGGAGAATCACCCTATTTAATGAAGATAAACTAATTGAAAAGAAATGCAGACGGAAGGATCATTTCGCTCTGCTACCATGTAAAGAAAATAAAAGATAAGATTCAATATAGAAACTATATTAAAGGAACTTGCTGAAGAGGATATGAAGAACACTTATTATTCATCAAAAGCTCAAGTGATAATGGAAATATATTGCTCTATTTATATAGTAAAATCTAACTAACTGTCTAATAAACTAACAACATAACAAACTAAAGAAGAAACTAGAAGAATCTGGAATAAGGAAGAAGAGACTGGAAGGTGCTGCTGAACTTGCTGGGAACGTGAGCTGCTTGACACGCTTGCAGGAGCTGGAACTTGTGAGCTGCTGAGCTTAGCTAAATATGCAACTTGCATATATTCCAACACAATCAAATCTGAGAAGAATATCCAAAATCGACAAGAAAAGTCCCTGAATAGAAATTGGCAGGACAACTAATATAATATGAATATAATTGAGTTGTTTGAGCATTACCATAGCTGCAAAATACACACTTTTGCGTGAAACCAGAAGTTTCTCTCTCAGAAACAAGTTTTTTGATTTTATTTGCAGAAGCCCCCAGTTAACGAAAACATCCCAATACGTATTGAACATAGTAGCAATAACTGAGCTCACTAGAGCCAACACTTGCCATGTTAATTGTTTCTTTAGTTCAAAAGCTGTTCTGATGACAACAGCAACAATTGTCAAAAAATATCTCAAACCATTGTATCCGTGTGCAATGTCTTCCTCTTCAAATAATCGACGAACACACTACATCAAAGAATGAGCTATTTCTCAGTGCTCCTTGGCATTTACAGGCATGAAAATAAAGGAACACGCCATAGGACATGGGTGAGAGAAGGAATCCTTTATTCAGATGGTGGATCAAATATTTAAAAAATACATATCAGATAGAATTAATCATAGTCAAAGCATAATATTGCCAAACAAAAAGCATACATACTGAACTATATAAAAATGATGTTGAGAGGGAATAAAAGTAAACAAGCTCTTCAGCTTGATAAGAGCAGCGAGTTTCAACACTAATCGGCTGATGGTAGGCTCACAGTATGCCAACACCACCAATCTGCTAGGTTAACTGATTATAAATCACCAAGTACGGAAGCTGGAGGAAATTACATTTATTTAGTGATCATCCATTATATCAAGCTTACATCAATGTCCATTTAAATCCATTCTTTCTATTGTTTAAGAATACATCAAATACAAGGAATAAATATGATGGACCTGGAGAAAACAAAACCCATATGGGATTACTGCAACAATGAAGTAGAAAATGTTGTAAGCATCGTGATTTCAGCATTTGGTTCGTCTCAGAGATAATTTTTCCCAAGTGTAGAAGCAAATGTAATACTCAAAGCTCCTTATAGCCCGTACGTGGAGTTAAACAGAATTCATAAATAGATATATGGAGTAAATGACCACCAGTAACATTGCCATGACATTAACTTGTCTAGCGAGTTGGCCCGCCATGATAAAGTTAGGAGTGTAACCTGTGATAACGGAATATAACTGAAGGAAATCGACTTGGAAATATAAATTAGTTCAAAGATGTTGAAGTGGAAATTATCCATGTCAGATCTACCTTGTAAAGAGGAGCACAAATACAACGAAACACACACTGGATAAGGAAGAAACGGCTTGAAATGTAGAGAATACTGGAAGGGCAAAATGAAATGAAAAGAACAACCTCCATGACAGAAGGTATTTAGTCAAAGAAATTGAGTATATGATGCTGCAAATTATTGGTACAAGAATTTAATATCTCACAATGAGTAAGCCTAGAGGAAAAAGATCAAAGTATTTCTTGTAATCTTGTTTTCTTGGGTCCCTTTTTATGTACAAATGTAATAGGAAAGTTCCAAGGGCAAGCATTGCAAGACCATTGCTGAGGAGAAAGACTTTTCTATAACGTAACTCGGTTCCCTGCTCAAAACCAATTCCGTGCTCTCTTTATCCGTTAACTTTCTATCTTCTATGAGTAGAATAATAGCAATAATTAAAGCAATTGAGCAAACAGAAAAGAAACCTGGAGATCAGTAGTGAATTGTTGAAGTGAGAGAACAATAATTTCTCTCACTTGGAAGCATTGAACATCAGATAGCTGCAAAAGCCGTCTAGCTTTAATCTCTGAAAAAGATCACTTACTAAGAGAAATATGTAATATAATTACATAAGTAAATTACCCGAGAAAAACGTTATACGATGTTTTTCTCTCCTCTATTTTGGCCACAGCAATTTGATGCCTTCTCAGCTGTTAGAATTTGAAAAGTGCTTAATGAAGTGAGAAATCAAACTATTGTCATTTGTTCAAAAGCAAGAATCTATTGCCAGTTTATGAAGCTTCCCAAATCATAGGTTTTCATAAAGAAGAACGAAAATTTTAGGGATTTAAAATTTGATACTTTATGAAACTTCCCAAATCAAAGGTTTTATAAAGAAGAATGCAAATTTTAGAGATTTAAAATTTATTTGAATGGTCATCAATCTTAATATATTGAAGAATAAGCATATTAGACAAACCTCATCACATCTTCCAATGTAAGAGTTATCCACAATTTTCATGTATGATCTTGCAGCCCTCCTAGATGTGTTCTGCATTGGTGCAACAAGTAAATAACTTGTACATGAATGATTAGAATTCCGTTTCTTTTCTTGTTATGATAAGTGTAAGATGCCTCTGTTTTTCTTACGTTTTGAATGCAAATACAACCATAAGGAAATATAATAGCATTTGGACCCACTCAACATTACATTTTCATATTTCTTTAGGATCTTGGAAAAATTCATGAAGCTGTTTACAAATCAGAAAAAACGGTGAGTACAAAATAATTTTTGAAAGAGAATAATTCGTACACACATTTTTGCTAGACACAACCTGTAGTTCTTTAAGAAGCAGCTCGCCTTCATTTTTACTAAGCTTTAGATTCGGATCCATAGGAACCAAACTGGGCTTGCAGCCAAGTAAACCTGCATCGTGCAAAATGTCCAGAGCATATTTTCTTTGGCAAAGTTGGATACCATTGGCGAGAGGCCTGTTTAAGGCCGTAAAGGCTTTTTCTTAACCTGCAGATTTTATTCTGCCCATGAACAACGTAACCCGGAGGCAATTTCATAAACACCTCTTCATCCAAATCGCCATGGAGAAAGGCGTTATTGACATCAAATTGTTGTAAAAACCAGCCTTTGATGGCAGAAACTGCAAGTAAGGTCTTGACAATTACAAGTTTAGCAACGGGAGAAAACGTTTCGTGGTAATCAAGTCCTTCTTCTTGGGTGTAACCCTTGGCAACTAGACGTGCCTTGTGTCTCTCGATTGTACCATCTGAATTGTACTTAATTTTGTAAACCCATTTGGAGCCAACAGGTTTCTTACCAGGAGGCAGATCAACGATATCCCATGTGTGATTTACCTCCAAAGCAGCAATCTCATTGTCCATGGCCTTGCGCCAGTCTGAGTTTTGCACAGCTTGTGCATAAGAATGTGGTTCAGTGTGATTAAGGATGGAAGTTGCAAAGGCAGCATGTGGTGGGGATAATTTAGCAATAGATAAAACAGAAGATAATGGATAAAGGGATGTATTTAGTGCAATACCTGCTATCTTGGAGCCTGATGAAGAAGTGTTAGGAACAATGACCTGCTGACAGAAGTAGTCCTGAAGATAAGGTGGGGGTTTCTTTGATCTGTGTGGTCTACGAGGAGGGGGCTGAGGTTGTGAGGGTGTTTGTTCAGAAGAAGAGGTTGATTGTGGGCTGGGAGATTGAGGACTGTAAGAAGGAAGGTTGTTAGGGGAAGCTGGAGTGGGAGATTGAAAAGGAGGAGTGGTATTATCTGGGATGAAGTCAATATTGGAAGAAGGTAGTGTGTGAATTGGGATAGGAGGTGGAAGAGGAGCTGTTGGTTGTGATGGAGAGGGTGTCGTGGTATCTTTAAATGGAAAAATGTCTTCCTAGAAGGTAACATCACGAGAGTGGAAGGTGGTATTAGTGTCTAAGTCAAGAAGCCTGTACCCTTTAATGCCAAATGGGTAGCCAAGCAGGATGCACCGTCGTGCTCTAGAATCGAATTTAAGCCTATTTTGCTTTAAAGTGGATGCATAACATAGGTAGCCAAATGTTCTCAAATGAGTGTAAGTGGGCTTGGCTTGGAAAAGGAGCTCATAGGGAGTTTGATTCCGTAGGTTGGGAGATGGAGTTCGATTAATTAGATAAGCAGCGGTTAGAACGCAATCACTCCAAAAAGAAAGGGGAACATTAGACTCGAATTTTAAGGCACGAGCAACATTCAAAATGTGTTGATGTTTTCGTTCGACAACGCCATTTTGCTGTGGCGTTTCGACGCAACTCTTATGATGAAGGATACCCTTTTGTAAATAAAAGTCAGTCATTGCAAATTCAGTGCCGTTATCAGAACGGATAATTTTAATAGTTGTTTGAAATTGAGTTTCAACAAGTGAACAAAAAGATTGGAGAAAAACTCTAGTTTGAGATTTATTATTCATTAGATAGACCCATGTGGATCTTGAGAAATCGTCAACGATAGTTAAAAAATATCTGGATCCGTCATGTGCTGTTTGGGAGCAAGGTCCCCATATGTCACAGTGAATGAGGTCAAATGGTTTTAGTGCTCGAGTTGTACTAACTGAAAATGGTAACCTGTGATGTTTAGAAAAATGGCAACTGGAACAAGGAACTGTCTGATTCATTAAGTTTAATTGAGGTAAATATTGATGTAATAAAAGAAGTCGTGAGTCAGACAAGTGACCCAGTCTACAATGCCATAAATGGTGATTGTTTGCAGGAGAAACTGAAGCAGAGATGTGAGATATATGAGAAGGAGTCTGAGGCAGAATAGAAGAGAGGGCTGTTGGAGAGACTTCTGTCAACTGCAGCTGATAGAGGCCATTGTTAGCCTTACCCTTCTCAATCGTGCTCCAAGTGGAAAGGTCCTGCAAATAGCATTCATTATGAAAAAAATGAGGCAACAGTTCAGATCACGAATTAATTTCTGGGCAGAAAGAAGATTAAAATGAAATGATGGAATGCATAATACATCAGTGAGAGTGAGATTCCTATTTAATACAACAATACCCTTATGAGTAACTGTGGCATGAGTGTCATTTGGAAATTTAACCTGGAAATGAACCTTGCTGGGCAATGAAATGTAGATAGATGGGCAGCAGATCATGTGATCTGTGGCCCCAGTATCTATGATCCAAGGAATGTGATGGGAGGTTTTGTGAGAGGATGAAAAGCAAGAAAATATACCAGACATAGTGGAAGCTGAGGGAAGGTTAGCTTGAGATGTAACAGGAGACTGAACCGGATTGGCAACAGGCTGTGAGAACTGAGGCTGGAGCAAGGCAATAAGCTGCTGATATTGCTGTTTTGTAAGAGCAATCTGGGGATCCTCAGGAATCCGTTCATGGCTAGAAATGCTGACTTGATTTACTGAAGGTTCAGTTCCAGAGCTTCGATTGGCAAGTTTATGACCTGGTGGATAACCATGAATTTTATAGCACTTATCAATGTTGTGACCAGGGATATTGTAGTGAGAGCAGGTTGGCTTCTCAAGGTGTGGATTGGCCTTGAAACACTTGTCCAGAGAATGGCCAGAAACCTTGCAGAAAGTGCAAAAAAGTCTCTCCCTCTTCTGATAGCTAAAATGTCTGTTGTTGTCCCTGGTTGGTGAAAAATGACTCTTAGCAGCCAAAGCAAGAGTGTCATGGAGGTTTGGAGTATGAGAGATCTGTCTTCGTTTTTCTTCTAGTTGAACAAGGGTATAAACTTCGCTTAAGGTAGGGATGGGTTTGATGAGGATAATCTGGGCTTTGATGTTGGTAAAGGAATCATTGAGTCCCATAAGGAACTTCATCATCCAGTCACGCTGTTGATTTTCAAGGACTAGTTTCATTGCACCACAAGTGCAAGATGGAATGAGTTCAAAATTGAGGAGTTCATCAAATAAACCTTTTAATTTTGAGAAGTAGAGACTGACAGAATCATCTCCTTGTGCAAGGGAATGGATGGATTGCTTTAATTCAACAATTCGTGGTCCATTATTTTGTGCAAAACGTTGCTCTAATTATAGCCATAAAGCATGAGCTTTTTCAACATACACGACACTATTCTTAATGTCAGGAGACATAGCATTTTGGAGCCAAGTTACCACCATGTCATTGCATTCAAGCCATGGTTCTAACAGGGCATCGTTTGGGGCAGAGGGCTGACAAAGGAGGCCATCAATGAATCCTAGTTTCTTTTTGATTCGAAGAGAGCGTCGCACTGTCCTAGCCCAAGAGTGGTAGTTGTCAACTGTAAGGAGGTGAGTTGTAAGCAGGGTTCCAGGACCATCATTTGGGTTGAGAAAATAGGGACTGGAGGGATCTTTGGGGTTGGTGTTGATGGGTGAGTTGGTGGAAGGATTGGGGGCAATTGAGGAATCGACATTTTCATCAGCCATTTCGGATCAATTCTTTGATACCATTTCAGATTTGTTTGAGCTGGGAATTAAAGAAATAAAATGGAGAGGAAGGCTGCAGACGTGCTGCTGTGTATTGAATGAATTGTTTGCCTTGCATTTACAATGTGTGAAGATCCATATTTATAGGAATTTACATGTATGAAATAAAATCTGATTCTCTAACAAATTGAACAGAAAATCTCTAACAGAAATCCAGCTCACACATTCTAGAATTATCCAATTTCTTGCTGGCACTTTGCTGAGTTGGAATGGTGTGGTGGCAGCTGGTGTGGTATTTCTAACAAAATATCTGCGTAACCACTAGGAGAGTCAGGTCCTTGCTGATTGCAACTCATTTCAACTCCAAGTCTCATATCTATTTGACTTGCTCCTGCATGTAAATGAACTATTCAAACCTCAAATTAAATGAAAGTCTATACTTGTTATAGGATTGGTGTTATTATTACTACACAATTTGGGATAATGCCCTGTGGAGGTAGAAGGACCATGGGTCATGGAAATTATGATAAATGATTCCTGAATCAACCTGTGCAATTCATAAGTTCAAAATCACCATATTAGCTTCTTCGAGGTCTTGGAATACTTGTGAACTATTCTATTCCAATGAGCAACTGGTTTTGACACAGTTCTAAAATGACGGAACATTTCAGAATCAAAACTATTAAAAGAACCTATAGAAGTCTTAATTAATCAACTATTTAGAAATATCTCAGCAATGCTAACATTTTAGCAGAAGACAAACGCAATCACTCAATTTCCATTGTGGTAGTTTTGACAAATTATGTGTTTTTAAGAATTACAATTATGACACGACCGTCCCGGATCACCCTACTGGACCCGACACGTGTCGTGCGTCGATGGTAGATGCTGACTGGATGCCAAATCTACCACCAAGGCTAACTATTACTACAAATTATGCGCAACTTTAGATTTAATCCATCTTAAACTCTCAATTATTGTCAATTATAAAACAAACCACAATAAAATGATTTATTTCATTTAAGTCCCTAATTGACTTTGACTAGTTGAACTTTTGGCTTTGACTAAATAATTCCTTGACTTTGACTATAAATGATTGGGGTGTAACAATCTTACCCCCTTCAATGAATTTCGTCCTCGAAATTCAATCAACTAGGATCTGAACCAATAAAAGATACAACGCACAAATTTATCTTCCATAATGCCTCTTCTTGAATGATTTCTCCAACCCACCTTAATAACTTTTTTTCCCCACTTTTACTTCAATGATATCTCAATCCCCTTTAAATATCAACCTATTTATTGATAACATATCTACTAAACTCTTCATAGTCTCTAGCATTCTATTAAAAACTAATTGAACAAATGCAATTTAGTTCTATAACTCCCTATCACAAGATACTCAAACTCCACCATATAAATAACAATCTTATCTATATAATTCTATAAATCTATCTCATGAATTGACTATATCATTTGAAAAGAATCTTGTAACCTTTCTCATAAAAATATACCTTAAACTTCAGTGATCGATAAGTATCGATGTTTTTTGCAACGTGATAACACCACAATTCCTAAATTCAACCCCAATATAACTCACTTTAAATTATATTTTAATCACGACTCTTCAACAATCTACCATATAATCCATAATTCATCATTTTACTTCAAAACGCTTTATAAACCTTAACATAACCCATTATCATAAATCAAACCCTCATCAACTTTAGATGCAAGAATAAATATTTCCCCAAAATTTAATCTGATAGTAAAACGTTTGCATTTCTAAACCCACACAATTTTAGTGCTCTTTTGTTTTTCTATGAAAAGGCAATAATGACATTTAATCCTTAATAATTCCATACTCTTATTCCATAAAGAGGCCATTGACCTATTAGCAATAGTTAAGCTTTCTTGTATACTACATAAAGACTTTATTTAAGATAATGTAACCAGAGGATACCGTTCCACAACTAAGTAAAAATTTACATTTGATAATCACCTTAGACTTTAAACTATCCAACATATCATCCATATATTCATAGCGAATAGATCTTCATAAGAATGGAATATATTGTTCCTGAGATCCAAAAATATAATTGAAAACTAACTCAAAAATTTCATAGCCAAAACTCCATTAATTCATCTTATCTTCATAAGTTAGCTTGATGCTTCCAAATGGTATATCATATAAACACAATAATCTAACAAAAGGCCTTGACAAAATTAATTAACTTAAAAACCCAAGTATCTCATCGCATTGTGTTATAAAACAACCATAATTTTCATTTTCTTGCTAATTTACCATATCATATTGTGATCATGTACCTTTGGTCATTTATCTTCATATCGTATGACCTCAAACATTTATTAGTATTCCTTCTCCATAAAATCACAAAATAGTAACCTTCATATTTATCACGTAAACTTTTCACACATCAATATACCACCAAAATTTCATATGTGAATTTCTCAATCTCAATAAATTCCAACTCTAGTATTCTCTACTCCCTTTTCACATAAACATATTTGTATGCACACATCTATTTAATCATATTGCTTAAAACAAAAAAAATTACCTCCATAATGAGTAATCATTTTTTCTCCCACAATTTCTTATCATATAGCATAAGTATACACCATCATGATTTCTACCATCTTCCTATATAAGTGGCTACAAATCACCACAACATTTGATAACCCCGATGACCATTTGGCTTCCCAAGATAATTAAAATTCATCACTGATTGTCACCAATTAAACAAACAATATCATTTCCTTTTATTTATCGTGTAAACTATAACCAAAGATTTTCTAGTATATGAGTAAATGATCATATAATATCATATATAATTCGGTACTTAGGTCACTATGAACTCCATTCCTTCAAAGCACTCTTAATAGGTACGAAGTTACATACAACACTGTACCAATCCAACAGCTTATAACATTGTCAACTATAAGATCATTGCAACTGACATACATACATACTAGTCATTTCTGAATTCATATAAAAAAATATATTCTTCTATCGTTTTAGGTTCCAAACATTCTAGTAGCAAGAGCTTTAGAGCTTGTGATTTCTACCACCACGAACATTCGACCATACACACTGAATATGCTTGATATGTCAATGCATGAACAATGAAAAATTTCAAAACCATGCTTTGATACCAACTTGACATGACCCGTCCCGAATCACCCTATTGGACCCGACACGTGTCGTGCGCCGATGTTAGATGCTGATTAGATGCTAGATCTACCACTAAGGCTGACTATGAGTTACTACAAATTATGCGCAACTTTAAATTTAATCCATCTTAAACCCTCAATTATTGTCAATTATAACATAAACCACAATAAAATGATTTGTTTCATTTAAGTCCCTAATTGACTTTGACTAGTTGAACTTTTGGCTTTGACTAAATAATTCCTTGACTTTAATGATAAATGATTGGGGTGTAACAAATTAGTGTTGCTTTTAAGATGTTATATGAACTAACTTGATTCAACTGACACCGTTTTTTATCAACCAGTCCAATTGTACAGTTACAATTTGCATTGAAAACCCAATAATTCAACAATACAACAAGTTTATTCATTGAAACATAGGTATAGGTGTTAGAAGGATGGGTCGGCCAGACCCATGAAAATCGGCCCGGATCGAAGAGGTATGACCTACGGGTTTTGCGGGTTGCACCTTCATGGGTCAAAGAGGTATGACCTACGGGTTTTGCGGGTTGCACCTTCATGGGCTGCGGTTAACCCGCTGACCCGTGAAAAAAAAAATTAAAATTAAAAAATTTTGAAAAAAAGTAGGTACCAACTTAGTTGAGATGTACTTATGCTATAAATATTTGATAATTGTAATTAGAAATGCATTTAGTTGTTATTTGTTTAAGTTAAATTTAACTTTGCAAAGTTATAAATAATTCATGTAACATTAAATTTGAATTCTATGTTAATATTTTTTGGTATAAATATGAATTNAATTCTATGTAAAAATTTCTTGATATAATTATGAATTTATCATTTTGTTCAATTCTTAGTTTACATTTAACAAAAAAATATATTTTTTGCTATAAATATAAAAAAATCTATATTTTTATAAACTTATTTATACAATCATACGGGCCAAACCGGAACAAATTGCGATCCGTGACCCGCATGGGCTCGACCCGGATGGGTCAGCTGGTGGGCCTGGGTTGTAGTCCAAAATTTGTGGGCCGACCCAGAACCCTTAGCGGGCGGGCTTTTTTCAAGCGGGCGATGGCGGCCGACCCGACCCAGACCACCCGGATTGACACCTCTAAACATAGGAGACACATTTAAAATGATGAGTTGTTAGTCAATTCCAGCACCTACCGAAAGTCTTTGCTCTTTTTGGAGATGTAACCTTCGAGAGGAGCAAGTTGTCAATATCTGTGGAAAGACGTCTCAGTGTACTAGATCCATGAAAACCTAGATTCAGCACCTTGATCCGTAATGCAATCAAAGCATCCATTTGTGTATTGAGCAAAGCTGCTTCCCTCGCTACTTCCTCGACCTTGTCCTTGTAGAAGGTATTTACTTTTATTAAGCTCATTGTCAAGTTTTTTGAAGAAGGTTATCTGATTCTCTTCCATTTCTTCAGGGGACACCAGTAAACTGGTGTTGTATAAATTTCTATAGTTCTCCTGTTGCACTGCATTAACAGCTATTACTGGTTTCTCAATGTCCTCTGGATTCTGTATATTGCACGCTTCTAAGTTTAAACCACTGACGGTTCTGCACCGTATTGATCTTTGCCGAGAGTCTCTAAGTGGGGCTGGAGGTAGATTACTTTGTTTGATTCGGCGTATCTCTTGCAATGTTCATTTTAGTCCATTATAGACTACATAGGCTTCTGTCCACTCCGGAACTTTTTGCTTCTCGAACTCCTTCCCAAATTTCATATCTGCATCCCTTTTCACGTAATCTTATAGGTCAAGTTTCCAGGTTTCCCTTGACTTTGCTTCTGATGTGCTTCAAATAACAAGAACCATTCATTAGTAAGATCCTAAACTACTGGCTCATTTCTATGTCCTTGCTTTACTTAATATTCATATCAAGGAAAAAGTTCTTGAAGAAACATGATCTATCAAGAATACTAATTTAAATGTAGGCCATGTATTCCCTTATACATGATACCTTATAACATAGCAACATCGACATAATCCTGCACAAAAAGTAATCAGTAAAGAAAGCAGCTCCAACTGGAGTTAAATATAAAATGCTTCCGTTCCCGGTACAAATTGTTTGCAATGCGCATCAATTGATTGGGATAAATGGAATTTGAATAATGCATCCCTTTGCATCATTCAAACACTAATCTATTGAAGAATTCACCATTAAAACATGCTACTCACTAAGAAACTACTCAAATTAGAAGGAATCACCGGATAAATTTCCACCAGTTTAAACAATATTCACTTAATTAAAAAACAAAAAAGAACAAAAACCTTGAAAACGAGTCAGAAACTGATGCTATGATTAGTTTAGCGGAATGCAATACACAGCAAGCTTAAAGTTCATACATTACAAAATAAATTTATAGCTCTTACAAAGATTTTCACCAAATTAGATGCCAAAAAAATACACATAATCATCATTAAAGCCATAACACAACGTACACATACACATTTTATTATTACGTATACATTTGGCAAAGAAATTTAAATATCTAGAGAGAAATTTCACCTTTAACGAGAAAAGATATAAACTTTATAAACACAAAAGTAGTTTAGAACATGTTTCAGCCCCAAATTTTGCAAAATATGCATTTTTAAATAGTGATTTGGCGGAGAATGTATGATTAAAAAATAAAGAAAACTTTTGGTTTGTATGTAATATTATTTGGACAATGCTACATGTACATAATTTTTTTACTTAATCTTTTATCTACACTCACAATAGGGTGTGAGCAGGGGCGGAGCCCAATGAGGTCCAGTGTGGGCACAGGCCCACACTGAACTTCTGGGCTCATAATTTTTTTTAGTTATATATGATAAATTCCAATCCAAGAGTTAGGCCCAATCCACTACCCAATGTCCCAGCCCAATCCAAAAAATTTAAAACATTAGTTCGTAGCCTTCGCGTCTGTTCTCCTCCTGCCTCCATTTCAATTCGCATTTCGCAGCCTCCACCTCTGCTCTCCCGCTCCGCCTCTACTCTTATCCGCCTCCACCTATGAGGCGTCGTTGTGCCTGGATTTTGATCAGAAAGTGAACGCTGCCAACAAGCTCGCAAGCAAAGCAAGCACCAGAGGGTTTTTCTCACTAACTCCGCCAATTAGATGCCCAAGTGCGTGCAACATCTGTCAGGTATTTGATGTTTGAGCTAGGTATGCCCTATGAGTGTTTTCGTATTTTCTTTAGGATCTGCCATTCTGTTTGAGACTTTTTTTTTAATATTGCGTTCTGGTGATAATTTTGAATTGAAATTTGGGTATTGTTGAATTGAAATTTTTGAAATATGGGTTGAAATTGCTGAAATTTGGGTATTGTTGAGTTGAAATTGCTGAAATTTGGGTATTGTTGAATTGAAATTGTTGAAATTTGGGTATTGTTGAAATCTCATTAACCACTTTTCCAACCTCTCGTGTGGGTTTTGGACCTAATCCAATAGCTTTTATTTATTTATTTATTTTTCATGTTTTGACATATTTGCATCTCAAGAGAAAAGGCCACAACCACAAATCGAGATAAAAACAGGATGTCTGCCCTTGTTCTTTCCAGTTTTGTTATTGAATCAGGTCTTTTGCAGTTTAAGATTTAAAATAAGCTATTTAAGTCTTTCATTTTTGCTTGTTCTTTCCCGAGTTCTTTATAAAGCAGTGTTGATGCCTATGACACCAAGACATTTATCGAAAAAGGGGGAAGTAGCATTGTTGTAAGCAGCAGCTGAATTTTTTTTCTGGTTAAGTGATATTGAGGATCTATGCTTCCATTACCTTGAATTATCATATTGAAAGATAGAACTTGAAATTAGCTTGATCTGTGCACAAATTTTGTTAATCCAGTTGAACCATAGTTGTTGGACATGTTCAAACTGATGATCTTTGTATTCATTTCTATTTAGAGGATCACCTCTTGCATTCCAATGCCATCTCTCCACACGACAATGGAGAAGAGAGGTAGATATGGACCTAAGTTCGACATTTGTCTTTTGACAATTGTAGTAGTTAGTGAACTTCCTGAAAAGATTCAACCTGGCATTTATTACCAGCTACTAAGGATACGCCTGTGGAAAGGCTTCTTCATATCCTTAATATAAATATATATAAGATTCAATGTCCAACATGTACTCTTCAAGGTTATTTGAATTTCAATTTGGGGATCATTATAGTTTCTTATAGCATGAATTGCCTTGCTCTAAAACTTTCAATTTACTGTTCAGAGTTCGGTTTTGATTAAATGGTGCCCACACTGGACACAATTCCTGGCTCCGCCACT